TAGAGGRGTAGGCATTTAACAAAGATGGAGCCAGCTTCCTTTATTTATAGTGGTACAGATCAAAGRGATTGGTAAGTGTAAGGTTTCAATGTGGGAGGAGACTTGTCTAGGTGCTTGCTTCTTCAAGAAAAACAGAATATATAGGTGGAGCTAGGCAGGGTGTTTGACTCTTAGCAGGTCACACCCATCTCTGGTGCTGTGCTGAACTTGTGATGGAGCTAGGTAAGAAGCCACATGAACTAGGCATTCTCAAACCATTAGGATTGCTGCTGGGAGTTCCCAATACCAGATTTTCCTGCCTAATGGATTCAACATGGTTTTAATCCATGCACAGTTCACAGATGGCTTCCTGCAGTAACACATTTGAGTGTGCTGGCATGTGCCTGCAGTTCCAACTACTGGGGAGACTGAGGGTAGAGGACCTCTTGAGCCCAGGAATTCAGGACCAGCCTGGGCAACATAGCAAAACTATGTCTCAAAACAAAAACAAAAATCAAAAACAGTATCTTTAAGCCAACACCATCTCCTTTTCAGTCACACTCCTTGAAAGAATAAGTTCTACTTCTTTAATTCCTCTTCACTTTTCAGCCTACTATATAGTACTATAGCTACTACAAAGCTATAGTAATCAAAACAGCATGACACTGGCACAGAAGTAGATATCAAGATCAGCAGAACAGAACAGAAAGTCCAGAAATAAACCCACATGTTTATAGTCAACTAATCTTTGACAAAAGTGCAAAGAACACACAATGGGGAAGGGATTGTCTCTTCAATAAATGAAGCTGGAAAAAACTGTCCATTCACATTCAGAAGAAGAAACTTAGGCCCTTGACTTATTCCATACACAAAAATTAGTTCAAAATAAATTAAGACTTAAATATAAGAACTAAAACTACGAAACTACTAGAAGAAAACACAGGGATAAAAGCTTCTTGACATTGATCCAGATTATCTAGTTTTTAAAAAATATGATCCCACAAACACAGGCACCAAAAGCAAGAACAGAGAAGTGGGATTGCATCAAACTAAAAAGGTCCCACACAGTAAACAATCAACAAAGTAAATAGACAACCTACAGAATGGGAGAACATGTTTGCAAACCTTACATCTGATAATGGGCCATATATCTTATAAGATATATATATCTGATCATATATATATACATACATATATATATATATACACACACATGTATATATACACACACATATGTATATATATATATATACACACACATATATGTATACACACACACACAAAGAACTCAACTCAGTAACAAGAAAATCTAACTATAAAATATGCAAAAGACCTGAAGAGACATTTATCAAAAGAGGACCTACAAATGCTAAAAAGTATATGAAAAATGCTCAACTTTATTAATCATCAGGGAAATGCAAGTTAAAGCCATAATGAGATATCACCTCACACCTGTTAGAACTATAATTATCAAAGACAAAAGATAGCAAGTGTTAATGAGAATGGAAAAAAAGGAAATCTTGTACTCTGGTGTTGGGGATGTAAACTGGTGCAGCTATTATGGAAAAGAGAATGAAGATTCCTCAAAAAATCAAAAATAGAACTACTAGGTGATCCAGAAACACCACTTCTGGGTATACTGTACATCTGAAGGAAATGAAACTAGTATTTCAAAGAGATGTCTGTGCTCCCATGTTTATTTTATTACACTATTATTCACAATAGCCAAGATATGGATTCAACCTAAGTGTTCAACAGAAGATAAACAAATAAAGATAATGGCACATATATACAACAGAATACTAATCAGTCTTAAAAAAAAGAAGGAAATCCTTTGATTTGTGATATTGGTGAACCTGGAGGGTATTATTAAATGAAATAACCATGTACAGAAAGACAAATATTACATGATCTCAAAATGTTAACCTCATAGAAACAGCAGAATGGTAGTCACAAGGGCCTGGGAAAAATGAGAAGATTCAAAGGAAATAAAAGTTATGCAGGATTAATAAGTTCTGGAGGTCTAAGGTACAACATGATAATGACAGTTAACAATATAGTATAGTCTACTTGAACTTTGCTGAGAAAGTAGATTTTAAATGTTCACACACAGAATTAGGACACAATATGATTATGAAAATACAACCTGGGTATTTATTTTTTTATAAGAACCATCCCTTGTTATTAAAAAATATTTTTTGGAAACAATTTTCAACATTGCATGAGTTATATAGCTTTACCATAAATTACTTAGCCTTTCTTCTATAGTTGACATTTAGTTACTTTTAAATTTTACTAATATATCTGGTTTTCTGATAAAACACTTTGTAGGCAAATCTTTGAGGTGTTTTTGTTGTTGTCATTTTTTGTCCTGGAGATTGAACCCAGAGTTGCTCTACTACTGAGCTATATCCCCATTCTTTAGGGTCTCACTATGCTGGCCTTGAACTTTTGCTCCTCCGTTTAGCCTCCCAAGTAATTGGGATTACAGATGTGTCACTGCATCTGGCAAGATCCTTAATTTTTTTGGCAGAGGGTGTGTGTGTGTGTGTGTGTGTGTGTGTGAGAGAGAGAGAGAGATTGATCCCAGGGGTGCTTAGCCACTGAGCCACGTCCCCAGCCCTTTTCATTTTCAGACAGGGTCTCACTAAGTTGATTAGGGCCTCAATAAATTGCAGAGGCTGGCTTTGAACTCACAATCCTCCTGCCTCAATCTCCCAAACTTCTCAGATTACAGGTGTGCACAACTGTGACCAATTTCTTAAATGGTAGATCCCAAGAGGAGAAAGGACTAGGTTAAGGACATGAAGCTATGAAGCTCTTGATATTCACTAATTGCTTACTGGAAAGGTAACTTGCAATTTCCAAAAAATATACAAGAATCCCAAATTTGTTCTGTTGCTAATATTGATTWAAAAAAAAAACTTTTAAAAATCCCTGTGAATTTGATAGGTCAAAATAGAAACTGGTACCTGATTTCCTCTTTTCTGATTTTGTAACAAGACTGTTCATCCGTCACTCTATTCTTTTCATCTTGGCTTCCTGTTTACTTTTTAGTCATGGGGATCGAACCCAAGGGCATTCTTTCTCTTAAATATATCCCCATCTCTTTAAAAAATTTATTTTTGAGACAGGGTCTTGCTAAATTGTGTAAGATGACCTTTAACTTGTGATTCTCCAGCCTTAGCCTCCTGGGTCACTGGGATCACAGATGTGTGCTGTGTGCCTGCCTCTACTTCTACTTCTGAATACTTCTTTTTCAGTATTCTTTGTAGGCTTTTCTTCAATTTAACCATAGTTTGTCCTCAGCCTCTGTAATATCTCACAGGCATCTCAAACTCAGTATGCCCCAAATTAAATTCATTTTTATGCTTATGCCTGCTTCACTTTTTTAGATTTAGATAAAATCTAAATCTCTAACTCCCTTCTCCAATTTCCATATCCAGACACTAAGTTTCTCCAACTCCACCTTTTAGATCTCAAATATATTCACTTTTCTCTCTCCACTCAAGCTTTTTCTCAGGCAAGATCCTTCACTAATCTCCTTGCCCTTGTTGTTATCCCACTGTATCTTACGTATTGCTATCAAATTGTTCTAAAGTGTAAATCTGATCATGTTCCTTTCTAGACTCCACTTTGCTGTCCAGCTCCATCTCTTTACCTTCCTATCCATTCCCTTCTCTCCAGTCACATGGAAAAACAGAATTCCTCACTCCCAGTGTATTCGTTTTCTGCCAAGGGTGTGCATTTTCCTTTGTCTTGTGAATTCCAACTATGCTGAGCACTCCTCCATCACTTCTCTGTCCTTTATACATTAATTATATTTTGCACAGAGCTTTATTGTGGCACTTCACATCACTATTTTGCAGTTTTTGTTTAACAATCTATCTCCTTAGTTGACTTGAGATACTCAAGGATAAGGCTCTATGTCATTCATCTTTTTAGTCCAGGTCCTAGAAAAATCCTGGAATCATATCAGGCCCTCAGTGTGTGGATTGTTCGTGATAGAAACTTTAAAATTCCATCCCATCTTCTAGAATCTCAACCTACCTAATGTCTCTGTTATCAAATTCTTCTCCATTCCCCATTTCTAAGATTGACAAGTTTGGGTGCTTCTCCAGATCAGGTACTTTTCATTACTATGGAGAATTATCTTTTTAAAATATACCTGGTTATGTTACTTCACTACTTCAAAAACAACTTTGTGATATATTCATACACACACCTAGCATAATTTGGTCAACTTCACTCCCCACTTCTTCCTTTTCCCTCTCCTTTTGTGAAAGTACTTTATAAATAGGTATATTTCAAAAAGTCACCTGGCCTATACAACTAGATTGCAGCCACAAAGTTATAGAAATCTTATAGAAATTCTGACATATTTTAGAGGAATTATGAGTTAGCTATAAAGCTTTGAGAGAGGTGCTATATGAAGTCCCATTATCCTAAAGGACAATACCCACCAGTATCAAAGGTCGAAGTATTCAGTCCCTATAGAATTCTATAGAAAAGGTTTTTATCCCCTATATAATTTTGTAAAAAAATTWATTTTTGTCTTTCTACTGAAATTACACTGAAAGATAATCTGATCAAGCAAATAAGGAACTAAAATATATAAACCAGTAAAGCACAAATTCATTCACACACACACAATTAAAACTCAGTAACTCCTTAATTGCCACATGTACCCATTTTTAAATTAATTTTTTATTTTATTCTAATTTGTTCAAGTTAATATTTAATGCCAGTCTACTGCAGGTGCAATTCCAAAATATTCCTAACATAAAATGAATTAAACTGTAAGGCAGTCTACCAAAGTAAGGTAGACAGTCTTCCTACTGCTTTTGAACAGGGGCAGATACCTTTCTCTGGATATGTCCCCAAAAGAGAAATACAGGAAATTCTATTTCTCTTATCCTATTAACAATGTGGTTAAAATTTGAGGTACACTTGCTTCAAGATTTTCTGGCTTAAACCACCCCAACCTGAGTTAAATTGTCATTCACAGATTATATAAACTAACACAAGTACAGTAAGCTTTTTTTTTATTGTTAAACTACTATGGTACCATATGCAGAACAAAAGTAAAAGGGTAAAGAGACTGACATACTTGTGCATTCACATTTTAAATTCTTGAATTATAAACAAATGATCAGGTAGGAAAGGAAAACTGAAGCAAGTGTTTTTCCTTAGAAGTCTTCTAATTTCTCTAACAATTATAGAAAACATGCTCAAAAACTTTAGAAAAAACACTTTTTTTCCCTCTACATGTGATAGCATATCAATAAATAAACTATGCTTACTTTAATAAACTGGAAAGACTCCCTCAATATTAAGGACAGTCTATGTCTGGCTAATGCAATTATAATTTAGATATAATATAGGCATCAAAAAATAAAGGAGTGACACAGTTTAAAATTTTCCAAAATGTTAAGACTCTTAATGCTGAGTTTCCAGTTCCAGAATTGTCCATTCACCTTGAGGTGAACAATCTTCTGAGGAAAAACTAGCCATGGTGATACTTGCTGAGGAATTATCCAGTGGAGATGTTAGTTCGCTCCATCTGTTCAAAGTGTCAACATGTGCTATACCCTGAGGTTTTGAGCTGTCTCGTGCTAAAAGGAGTGTCTGATTGATTAAATACTGTGCTAAATTTAGATCTTCAGGAAGAGAATTTGTAATATTTAAGTTTGAGTCCTGTTCAGAGAGCAGTTGCTTTAGTAGAGTCCAGTCCTGTTTTGCAAAATGTTGATTATCTTCAAAATCCATATCTGTAACATGTGTTTCTGATTCCATTTTCTGCTCAAATGCTTCTGTTACATCCATCTCATATATTGGAGAAAGGGTTTTTGAAGGCCGATGGTCATACATGCGGGTTTGTGCCAGTGTGTCACAATCATCTATGTCTCCTGAAATAATTCATAATACTACACAATGTAAAAATTGCACATGTTGGTACTCCTCAGAGTTTTGTAGTACAATATTAATRCAATGTAACAGTGATAGCCCCCCAAAAAACTACAAAATGGGAAAATAACATTTATACAAAACTGACAAAATTTCTGAGGCATTTCTTTGTCTACGTTAAAAAAATTCAAGGGTGATATTTAGCAGCAAAATCAACATAGGCAACTAACAATAATTTTTCATTCTTTAATTTGAAAACTTGTACAGAAAATAACAAATTATTTCAACACAAACATAGAAAGTACACATATATCTAATTTACTACAATAGAAACTTAAAGAGGAAAAAAAAGACAATTTATCTGATGGTGACTTTTAAAGTAAGTCACTACTCCAAAAGGGGGTATAAATACATTTTATCTAAAGGTTTATTTGTATATTGCACATGCAAAGAAGGATTCAAGCAAGGACAAACAAACAAAAAAGTACAACTTTTTTTTTTTTAAAAAACTCCTATTCTTATGATTTTGCTGAATACAGATTATAGATGAGCATTTTTCTTAATTATGATATACAATAGTTAGTCAGCCACTATTGCATATTTCAAATGTGGGTCATTAGTCTGAATTACCATAATAAGGAAGACAAAAACAAAACAATTCGACAGGAAATCTTCTGTGCATATGAAATAAGCCTGGGCTTTTTTCATATATTATCATTGCTTCTAAATATAATCTCTTTAAGGAAATTTAATTTTTACTTGAAAATTTTAGAATAGAATTATATTGATCCTGAAAGTTTTACTCTCTGTAAAATGCATATAAATTGTAATAATCTAGTTGTTAAAATAGTTCAGTGCTTTTAGTTACATATTACTATAGTTATTGCACAGCCCTCAGATATATTACTAGCAAGTCCATAAATCATATCCAATGTATAATAAAATTTCTTAGTTGAGAATTCTTATGTTAAATTAGACATAAATAACTAAATAATAACAAACTAAGATTTTATATTTGCTCTTTATGTAAAATCTCCTAATAGGTTAGTTATGTCAAATAAACAACCAAAATTTTTACTAGATATTAATTCTTCACTAAGATTTTCGGTGAACAATAATAAATGAATAACTAGTTAATTTTCATATTATCAAGAAATTTAAATTTTCATTTAAAATTTGAAACTGTTGTGTAAGTAATTATTCTATCTACCTAAAATATAACATTCAGGGCTACATAAAACTTTAAAACTCTATAAACTTATTTTCTTATGCATTTAGCATTTCTATTTCTGTACATTACCTGCAGATAAAGCAATATTAGCTTTTTCGGTAGCTGTAGAATGGCTCTCTTTCACTTGACCTTCCTGAGGCAAAACTTGACTCCGAAAGGAGTCTAGAGATTTCATAGAGTTGTTCTTTGGTGTGTCAGAATTGGGTTCTCTTTGATGAAGCTCCAAATGACATGGCCTTTCTTGAGATTTTATGTCACTATCCAAGAATTTGCTGCGTTGCTGAAAATCATTAGTCATATTGTTTCCACCATTTACTTTTTTATTCTCTRGAAAAAACTGCCTGCTTCCTTTGGACAGGACATCTAATGTGTTATCTTTGTCAGTGGCTGAAACACTCTGTTTCTCTTTTCTTGAAGAGTCAATGCTATTAAGACCCAAAAGAGTGCTTTCATTTTTATATGTGTTATTGCCTTTTTCTTGCTGTTTACACTGTAAAATACTCTCTTCACTTTCTTGTGAGAATCTGGAAAAGCAGGTCCTTCCATGATATTCATGAGAAACACCATCGAAAACATCAGAAGGTGAAAGTGAATCTAGAGGAGGCTGAAAGGGAGTATGGACTTCCCCTTCATCAGATCCCAGTTCTTCACATTCATCTACTGAAAGTAAAACTGACCTTTTAAACTTTTTAGTTGCAGAAAACTCACGACTTTCATTTTCAGTTCCATCTTCAAAAGCTAAGTTAATTATTCCCTGAAACTGCTGAGGAGCTGGATTAGAGAGAGAGAAATTTTCTGCAACATTTTCAGCTTCAGATCTCTCATCTTCTGTTTCATCTGCTGAGGAAGAAACCTGATCTATTTCCTGAGCAAACTGGACACTGCCTCGTGGAATATTTTCTTTTTCCCTAGGATGAACTATTGTGGATCGAGACCAAATTTCTGGCCTTTTCCTAGGAATCTCATCATCACTTGTTGAGTTAACTTGGAAAATGTCATTACTACTTTGCTTTTTCATTTTTACTTCAATTCTTAAATTACTATCATATATTTTTAATTCTTCAGGAGTACTAGTATCACTGCTACTTCTTCCAAGGAAGTCATGGCATAGCATAGTCCCACACTTAGAAATACCTCTGTCATTTGACCCATCATCATCCTGAGACCCTCCAGCATCATAGTCTTCAGACCTGGGTTTTATGTCATCAGAGGATGTGGTAGCACTGCCCGTGTCAGATTCAGGACTCTCTCTCTGATGCAGCACATTGGTACTCAAATTCCAGTGACCCATGAATGGAGCTTCTGAAGTTTCATGATTCTCTGGAGTTTCTGATGTTTCCATATTTTTAGGAGAATTTTTTCCTGATGTCTGTCCCGAAAAACATTTGGAGGAAACATCTGAGTCTGTGGTAGTAAGTTTATCTTCCTTCATGGCAGAGTCATTAGGTAACTGAGTAGGAACTGTTGGTTTTTCTACATGAATTTTAGATTTTCTGTCATCTTGAACAGAATTTAAGGTACCATTTATCCTTTCAGGAATACAAGGTAAAACATCTTTTATGTATTTCATGCTTGATGTTCTATTTATATCTTTTCTCCCTATTTCTTTCTCTCTATCTGATATTAAATGGATTTGTTCTACATTTGTTGAGTCTAAATCACAAATTGGATTAGAGTTTAAGGAGTTTTCATTTGGATTTGAAATCATGGACTTCTGAGCACTGGTACTATAAAATTTTGAATCTACACTATCACTTTCACCAGAAGGACAATATGCTTCAGTAGGAATGCAATAATTTGTGTCTTTGTGATTGGGAAGTTTTGTTTCACTTTTACCTGAACAAATTTGTTCTGATTTCAGTTCTTGTTTTACTGATTTATCCAGCTTTAAAATATTTTGGCATTCTTTTTCTTGACCGCTTAATGGCTTTTGTGGGTCAGGTCTGCATGATGACTGGAATGCTTCTGTGCCATTGATTTTGGTTGCAAGATTAGTTAGAGGTTTGTGAGGCTTCTGTTCAGAAGCACTGTCTTTGTTGTTATCATCTACATGATTAAATATGTTTTTTTGTATAACAGATGTTTCATTTTTTAAAGGTCTTTGGGAGGAAGACTGAGTCTTCAATGTAATCTGTCCAGGAGGCATTTTTTGTTTTGAATCTTTGTTATTCAGAGTTTCACCTTTCTTTGACTGATTCAGGGTTTTAGGCATTGACACCGTTTTTGCATTAACCTTAGGCAAAGTTGTGAGTCCCTGTTTAACAACTTTTTTCTGAGGTGTTTGTTTATCTGAAGTTGTCTTATGGTCCAACTTTTCATCAGACTTCCTTGAAGAGACTGAAGATTTTACTGAATTTGGTGATTCACCTTGGGATCCTAAGAAAAGAAAGTTCAGAAATACAATATATTCTCTAAATCTGTGTGAAATTCAACATTTTAAATTACTTTAGAAAAAATAAAATAAATAAAAATAATGAAAGGTTACATATCTATGATCAAATGGACAATTACAGATTAGGACTTAGTCATATAATAAAATTTTAAAAATTATTTTTCTATTAAAATATATAGGGACTATTTTAGGGTCTTAGTTAAAATTGACTCTCTTCCTCAAGATCCTTGATCCTTATGCCAAAATTGGATTTGCATAAATACATGAGGGAGGAAAAAGTCTGATTTTTTAGACCAAAGGAGCAAGGAAGTTTTCCCTTCAAAGTTTTTTTTTTTGGTAGGTGGGGAGAGGGAGGGGAAGGCTGTATTCTACATAGCTGGAAATGAGAAGCAGGCTAAACAGAAAATAGAAAACTGTTGAAATTGTTCCCTTTTCCTTTAAACATGAATAAAACCATTTTACTTCTTATAAGAAGACCACTATTATTGTAGCTCATTAATTTAAATCTGCAGTGGAAACCAGAACTGCTGCCTGAAGGGAATAAGAGATTAACTTTGGGAATTCATTTGTATATACTGGTTAGTTTTAGAGATGATATTTTTGGGCATTCAAATGCAAATAGACCAAAAAGTGTTATCAAACACTTTTTTTGTTTGCTTCTTTTGTGGTGCCAGGGACGGAATCCAGAGTCTTGTGTATACTAGAAAAGTGTTCTACCACTGAGTTATATGCCCCCAGTTCTAGCAAATAATTTTAAATGTTTAATTTTTAGCTATTACTAAGATATAAATAATTTTCTCTGCCTTATTATTTAAATTGATTTTCAGTATTAATTCATAATGTAAACCAAAATTATTCTGAGGATTTTACAAACTGCTCTTATACATTTGAAGGCTTAATGTATAAAGAAAAGTAATTTTTAAAATCAGTTATTATGTTAGCAGGTCATGCAATCTAAATGGTACTCTTTCCTTTTTAAAATTCTTCCTCTATATATAATGGCTATCTAGACTATACCATTATTTTTAGAGCTTTTTAGTGTTGGTTTTACAGATGGAATTCTTATAGTTATCTATGAAACTGACAAGAAATATGGGGATACTCTATAAAAGCACCACAAATAAAGATAAACTAGTAATTCCCTTAATTATTTTTCCCACAAAAGATAATAAAAACCAAACCAATACCTCCAAAACATCAAAATATTTGTCTAAACTCTCATCTCTATCATGTGAAACAAATGTAAAATAAGTAAAATCATCTTATGTCTTATTTGCTACTTAAGTTCCAAATCTGAGTTTTGTTTATCCAACTTACATAAGGAAGTAATATCCATGATACCCACAACTATTTCAGCTTTACCTTGAGTTTTAGCAAGATTAGATGGGGCATTCTTTGTCCTCTGCTGAGTTGTACCATGTCCATTGCCATTTCCTCTTTTCTTCAAAATTGCCTGTGGTGTTGGATCATTATATCCTTTGCCACTGACTTTCTTTAGTACACTAAGAAAAATGGTTTGCACTTAGTATTACAATGAGATTCCAAAACATGAACTTTTAAGAGAATCACTCATGAAATATGTTTTTCCCAAGAAATAAAAGTACATCTTTTTTGAAAATAGAGAAACCATAAGTTTTTAAGTTTTAAAAGTGTAGGTAAAGTATGATAAAGTAATACATAATAAATGCCATAAGTATAAAGATATTCTTCTAATATTTTGCATCAATCATTCTTGCATAAATATACTTCTTTCATAAATAAGACAATCATTTAAAATATCACAGTATAATATTTTACTTTTTTTAACAAAGAAAAGACACTTTAATAATATTTAATATTTGGTTAGAAATTAGTATATAATTAACTACAGAGAAAGTTAGCATATAGGTTAAACAATAAATGAAGACCTACCTGTTATTTATATTAGTGTCTTGTTCATGAATGCTTTTTTTGTTGGAAGTTCCACTGGTAACTCTTGAAACAGGCTGAGATTTTACTGCTATAAATTAAGAAAAGTCAGTCATGGGATAGAATACACAAACAYGTAACAATATGGTATAAAATTTACTGGTTAGACACTATAAACAAAAGTGTTAAAGTAGAAAGGACTATGTTTTCTCGAATCATATAAATAAATAGTTTATGGCATTTTAAAATAAAAGACCCCCAAGCATTATTCTAAGAACTTACTTGTTAAGAACAATTAAAAATTAGGTTTTGGGGTAAAGGTGTAGATCAGTAATAGAGCATTTGCCTAGCATGTACAAGGCTCTGGGTTTGCTCCCCAACACAATACACACAAAGTATTAAAAAAAAAAAAACTAGAGTGCTAAAAACCCACCTACAATGGAAGTTTTGACACTGTCTACACTGTTTTTCACCATCTGTTCTGGAGAATCACAAAATGATAGCTTCTGACCAGAAGACATCTCTTCTACTGATCCATTTTCTTTTGGTTTGCCCAGACATCCAGCAGAAATTGATAATTCCACACTTGAATTTGGAGATTGGATGGAAGGTCCTGCAATGCTGAGGCATGGAGAATCTTTCCCTGTCACTTTTTTCAAAGGTTTTGCTTTGGTTTGCCCATTTAAATTTCCAGTGAGTATCTTGGGTCTGGCGCCTGTGATTTGCCCTTCTTGATTTTTCACTCCTTTTCCATTTACTGAATTCCTATGTCCAGTTGCTGCTGCCGTTGCTATTGCTGACTTTTCCACAACTTTAGGTGGTAGGTTTTCCAGTTTTGCATTATCATTGTTTTCTATTTGGGGCTTTATTACAGTTTTGGACTTTCCAGAAATATTTTTCCCCCCAGTTTTCAATTCTTTTGTAATCTTAGATGATACTTTTGTACTATCCTTTTCCTTTACATCATTATGCTTCAAGGTTTTATTTATACTATTTCTATTAGTATTTGATGAATGTCCAGATGCTCCTAATCCATCAGATTTCATCTTTTGATTAGCAGAGAGAGAACTCCAACACTTGTTATTTTCCCTCCAAGATTTGTTTTTTATAATACTAGAATCAGAAACTTGTCTCCTTTGCTACAAAAAAGAAGAAAAAATACTTTGTAATTTGACTGAAGTATTTGACATATAATACTCTGTTTCAGTAAGCTAGTTTTTCAGAAAAAACAAACAACAAAGTTTATGTTATGATTTAAAGTCATTTGAAACTTGGATTGAGTCTTTGATCATTTTGATCAAAACTTTTTTATCTCTGACCATATTATCTTTAATCAAACCTGAAACACAGCATTAAAGGTTTACATATTTATAAAAGCCATACTATATTTAATTTTTTTAGGTCTGGTAGAGATTAATACCTAAAGGTTCAGCATGCCTTAARTAAATATTAATATTCAACATTTTTTTAGGAATTCCTGGTTCCACACAAAACCTTTTTCCTACATCATTTCAATTAATATTTACAATAATCCTATGAAATAGCTCCTGTAGATATTTTCAGTTTTTAGACAAGAAATAGAGGATGAAAGCAAGTATGTGACTTACCGAAGGTAATAAGCTTGTAAGGGACAGAATTAGGACTTGAGCTCATGACTTACTGCTTCAAGGTGGTAATCATCCAAATCGTATAATTTGAGAGACAATGTAAAGATTTTCACCCAAACCTCTCTCTTYAACCCTATCCCAAATGCCAGAAATTTTATCATTAAAGATTTAATTCTCTATAGTAAGAATAGTTTACTTCTTGGAGTCTTAATTTAAAACAAACAAACAAAAAACTCCTAGGAAATACAACATATTACATTGGAAAACCTTGGTTTTTTTAAAGAACAAGAGGGTAGTACAGTAAAGCTACCTGGAGAAAGCGTAGGAAAAGGGATATGAAAAAGGAAAAAGGAGGAAAATAGAAAGATAATGAAGACAAACACAACCACTTTATCATTTTTAAAACCTAACCTTAGGAAGGAAGAGAACAACAAAAATTTTAAAGTTGGTAAAAATTTTAGAATAAAAATATAAGATTATATTGTCGTTTTTTTGGGTAAATTGTAAATGTTCATTTTTTTCCCTTTGTAAAGCTATATGARACTGTGGAGGCAAAGCTTGTATTGTCTTCATTTCTGGTATTAAAACCCTTGACACCATGCCCATAATATACTGGGGACTCAAGAAAATGCTGTTGTTAAAACTACACATATATTGATTATAATTCAATAATATAATTATTTCTAAATCCGAAAAGCTTCTATATTACATTTAAAATTGTCCAAGATAAAATGACACACACACACATATATAAATATATATATGCATGTATATAGACAATAAAAATATATAAATAACTTAGCTAAATTTGGTAAAAAGTGAGGTATGGTGATAAAGGAATCATGAGACTTACATTGGCTTTGCCTCCAATGGATCTGAGATATTTAAGAAGTTATTAGCAACGCTGGGCCTTAGATTTTACATGTCTATAGAGTAGAGAATAATCTTCCTCAGATCAGTGTTCAAGGAGTCTAATATTTATAAAGTTCAGATAGGCTTTTTCCTCAGTTTTTGCTTTTTTGATCAAATCTTAACCCAACAAATAACATTCCTCTATTTTTAATCCTAAAATTAGGTCAAGTTCTGCTTTTAGACCTTTTCTCTCCCTTCAAACCGACTATACTTAATTTGCTCTGTCCTTAAATCTTTGCACTTTGAAGTAGTATGTATTATATGGGGTAAATATACTCCTTTAGAAACTTAACATAGTATGATATGATGAAGATTCAATGTAAATGAATTTCTAGGCAATCTCTTACTTATATTTGCCAAGTTGAAATGTTTCTTCTGAACACATGACCAATTGGGAATGATCACCATATTCTATTGACTAAATAAATAAATAAATAAAAGATAACCCTCTAATGTATTCTTATTTCTTATTTTTTTGGTTAATTCTTACTATAGAAAATTTTAAACATAATTAAAAGAAGACAGAACTGCCATGTACTTAATATCCAGCTTTAACAATTACCAATACATGTCCAATTGTTTCATATATATTATCCCCATTTTATTTTGAAGCAACTACTAGAAATGAGATGTTTTATTTTTAAGAATTTTAGTACTAGCACTCTTTTAAACATTTCTCCCAGTCTTACCTGATTAACTTTTTCCCACCTTCTATTTTTTTTTTTTTTTTTTTGGTATTGGACATTGAACCCAGGGGTGCTTTACCACAAAGCCACATTCTAGCCCTTTTCATTTTTTATTTTGAGACAGCGGCTAAGTTTCTTAGGGCCTCACTAAATTGCTGAGGCTGGCTCAACTTGTGATCCTCCTGCCTCAGTCTCCCTAGTTGCTGGGATTACAGGTGTGTGTCATTGCACCCAGCCTTTTCTCTACCTTCTAAATGTTTTATCTTTGTTTGAAAAACATGTGTATTCATTTCACATTTACTAAGTACTTACTACATACCAGACAACTGCCTCAAAATTATTTTTACTAATTTTCACAATAATCCTGCTGGTTTTATTATTCCATCTAACAGATAAGCAAATGTGAAGATAATAATGTGAAGTCAAGATGTGAACTATTCTAATTTTATATGTAGCACTCATTTCAGTATACCACTGCTTTTCTGAGGGAAACTTATTACTCTATTTCCTTCCCATTGTTGTTAACAGAAAATAACTCTTAGACAACCTTAAGGTCAGGAAGATGAGGAAGAATGATGAAAATCTGTTCTATTTTACTGTAGGGCAGAGGAGGAGGAAAAGCCTGCTCTATAATAGGGGGAAAGAAGGCAGGTAGTCTACTTCCTGGAGGCCTTAAAACAAACAAGCAACAACAACAACAAAACCACAAGAATAACTGGGAATTTAAGTACATTAAAAAAAATCCTAAGGTAACATCTCCTAGAATAACTATGTTATGGGAAATTATATAATATGCTTTAAAGTGACTCAGGGGAAGCCTAGTGGTGTCCTATAGTTTAACAAGTAGAAATTTAGTTGAAACAAAATTCAAGTTTCTTTTACTGTAGTGTTTCTCACCACTTTTAAGGTATAATTTTTATCTACAGTCTCTAAGAGGAGCTACAGTGTATACTGATTCTTAAACTTAGTGCAAACTACATGTTCTTAGGTGGAACATATGATGGAGCTACTATATTGTGAAACATACTCTAGAGAATAGTCCTAGTAAGTTTACTGAACAAAGCTCCAATATCCCAGTTTCTTATCTAAGATATTTGTTTAGATATTGATCCTGCCTTAAGCCATGAGAGCTTAGTTTGGCTTGGGCTGCAGTGTTTTCTATAAGGAAGAAAACAGGATTCCCTATGCTACTCTGCAAGGGCACTATATTCTTTGCATTCCAAACTGGAACTCTCAATGTATATTTTCATCTTATCATTGTAATGCACACAGAGGCTAGTATAATTCTGCACTTAAAAAAAATCTTTTTAGTTACAATTGGACAGAATGCCTTTATTTTATTTATTTATTTATTTTTATGTGGTGCTGAGGATTGAACCCAGCGCCTTGCATGTGCTAGACAAGCGCTGTTCCGCTGAGTCACAATCCCAGTCCCTGTACTTTTAAATATATTATTGATTACATAAGCAGCTATAAATTATCTTGAAACCCTAACCAGTATTAACATATTTTGTGGGAATAAAAATATAATTTCAGTTATAATAAATACATCAAGTAACTTTTGTGTGTATATGGTAAAAAACATATAACACAAAATTTCCATCTTAACATTTTTAAGCATCCAGTACAGTTACATTAATTATACGAACTTTGTTACACAACATATCTCTAGAACTTTCTTGTATTACAAAACTGAAAATCTATACCCACTAAACAACTCCCCTTTTCTATAACCCACTCTACTCTCTGTCTTTGGGAATCACCATTCTACTGTTTCTGAGAATTTGATTACACTGAGTACCTTACATAAGCACACTAAGTAATTTCTAAAGTAGAACACAACTGTGCTCTTGGTACCAATTGCTTTTTTCACATAAAAAATGTGAATTAAAATAGAGAAAACTGGAACAAGCAAGACCTTCTTTAATAAAAAAATAGGTTAATTAGAAAAAGTCATTGAGTTAGATCTAGAATTCTGAAAAACTCCTAATCTATTGGAATAGCTCCAATATATTACTTGCCAAAAAGGTTTTCAAGGAAATGAAAAAGGTGGCTACTTCTCATGCCAGCTGGACATCAAAAATTCACATCATTTAAAAATGTATTTAATGTACACTTGATTTTAAAAGACTCAAAATTATTTCTAATAGCTTTAATTAATGAGTAAAGAAATTTTTTAAAATTAGGCTAAAATACAAAATAATAAAATTTAAGGGGCTGGGACTGTAGCTCATTGGTAAAGTGCTTGCCTCACATTTGTGAGGCACTGGGTTGGATCCTCAGAACCACATAAAAATAAATAAAGATACTGTGTGTTGATCTACAACTAAATAAATATTTTTTWAAAAAATTTCAATAATTTTTTATATTTTGTCATTGAACCTATAAAATTCAGAAGTTTACCTGAGAGCTACTGAATATAGGCTTTTTGCCAAGTCTTCGATCATCACCTTTGTCAAATGCAGCTGTAGAAAAAAACAGCAATTTATTTTTTATAGAAAGTATTACTTTTACCAAAGAAGCACAAGAAAAATAGAATTCTAGCACAAAACATTATATTTTGATGGAAGTAACAACAACAAAAACCTGAAACCAATCTAGTGCACAAAAATAATTCTCTATTGTATTTTAGAATTTTTTAAAAAGGATGTCATTTTCAATCTTTCTCTAGTTCCTAAGATATTTGTTTTAAAAATTAATAAATAATAAGTGCAATCTCACAAGGAATGTTCACATATTTACAAAAACCCAGAAATTTTTCATGTTGAAAATTTTTAGATAACTGGTTTCATTTATTTTCCAAATTTCAAAAAATTATACATTATGACAAATATGATATTTTATAAATAATTAAACATAAAAAATATTTATCCTAAAAATATAAAAATACTCTGTTGAAATTAACTAAAAATATATCCTAGTTTTGCCTGCAAGTCATGAGGAAGGAGAAAACAGAACAAAAAAATAAGATTCTATTGAAAATAAAACAAGAAACAATTCTCAAACTCATATTATTTCTTTTAGAATTAAATAAATATTAATTTTATAAGTTAGGTTTATATGAGAAGTACTGGGGAATTCATGTTTATGCACTTAAGAATTTGAATGACGTCAGGAAAATATATAGAAATAATAGTATGAGGTCTATCAACACAGTTCAGCTAATGTATTTCTTTCTTTTGAAGGTTATGGTGCTTTAAGACATATTTTGAATAAAAATATATAATTTCCAAAATTTTATTTTTATTAAAACAGCTAATAAAAATATATTAAATTATCTAACTATCATGCATCTTCCACAATCTCTATTTTACAGGATATGTGCTATAGGACAAAGCAAGATTCTAGAAGTGATATTGTAAAGACTGATTTAYAGTAAGTAAATGACTCTGCACAACAATATATGGAAAAAAATTAATAGAAAATTTCTTCCAAAAGTCAGTAACTCAGCTAGAATACAAAAAATGTTATAACAAAGACAACCCCAAAATATTTTTTAATCTGTGTTTCCCAATGCAGTAATTGTGCATAAATCAGGATTCATTATTATTCATATTTAAGGTTTATAAATATTATTACTGCACTGATGGAATGTAATAGAATGGAGAGCTCTTTTTGATAATTATCTGTATTACCAATGATATTTTCTTTAGATTTGTGTATTTACATATATTTTTAATTAGTGCTTGAARAATTAAAGAACATTGTTTGAAGTTCAACTTAACTATGAAATCCTCTAAAACAGAGAAAAACAAAGTTTGCTACTAACTAGAAAAGAGTTGAAGGACATTTACTCAAGGAATGCTAATCTTATTTTGTTTCTTCACATTGTATGGATATTATAGTAAAGATAAACTATCATCTAAAAATCAGCATAGAAATAGTCACTACAAAAAAATTCCAGTTTCTAAAGATCTCTTGATTTTTGCTATTTAAAAATGGAATTTCTTTGAAAAGTACTGTTTGAATAACATCTAGCTGCACTATCATGTTAGATTTACAACATAAGACAGCAGTTCACATTTTAACTGTATCACTAAAGGATTTATATACTCACACATTACCAAAAATATATTTCATCACATATAGCTTCCATCTTTTATAGGAAATAAATGTTTACTTCAGAAAACAGTCCCTTAGCTAAAACTGTTTTTAAAAGTATACTTGCAGAATATGCCAGGATTTTTTTCTAAGGCACTGGCTTTAACCCCAAAATAGCCATGAAGCCATTTTAGTTCCACACCCTCAAATTTTTGGTTTTTTGAAACAATCACACATTCCGAGAAATGCACATCTTTTGTTTAATGCTTATGTTTCAAATGGTACCTATTAAGTATCAGAGACCACTGTGTGGTTCCTGAGGGACACTCTGCAATAGCACACATCACATCACCGAACAAATCAATTGTGAAAAAACCCCATGCAATCTAGGCAAAACCACAAAAAAGGGTGTCTTCTGAAAAAGATGGAAAATCTTTATGGTAAAATATATTTTCAAAGGGAGAAAGTATGTTTTGTAATCTGTTCTATATGGATTATATTCTTTTATACTTCTAACCTCTTCACAAGAATGCCTTTAAGCAAATTTGGCTGGAATACTGTTGCTAATATACAGTAGGATTAAAAATTTATAWGTATATATAAAGGAAATGAGTTTCAATTTCTAACAGCAGCAAAAACAAAACATGATTTATTAAAACTGCCTAACATACTATCACTAGTTTTGGTTAGCACAGTATTATTGAACAGAAGCATACAAATGTTAACCTTTCTACTTATCAGAATGTTCACCTTCAAAATATCTGCTGTCACAAAGATCATAAAATGAGAATAAAAAAATTTCAAGGCTAACATACCTGCTTGGATTTTCTGTTGATCATCTGTGCTCATCAGCTTCCAGCTTTCTGTGTGACGAACAGCATAGAAAGACTGAACCAGGAAGATCCACAGCTTATCACGCAGAGCCTGGATCTTGCACGTAAAACCCTGTGTTCAAGCAACAAATCAGCAGCTGGTGAGAGCCACATTGTCATAGCAACCAGTCATTATTCCTTTCCGAATCTACTTACTCCTAAGCTAGATCAATGATGTCATCACTTAGATTTTTAAGATCATAGGGTACATATTATTTATGAAGGCCTTACTCATTAACAGAATTTTAAGTGAACGTGAAGCTAAATCTTACCCTTTCAACCAAACATTATTTTAAAACACCAATGTCCATTATGAATATATTCCACARCCTTTTAAAATCAACTATGACATTACAAGGTCAAATACTCTATGCAATAATAAATATGATGAAATTTTCATCATTCTTATAGAATATATATGCCAATAATTTACAACTAGCTTACTAATTACCACTGATTAACTGCATTTAAAATAATATTTAAATTTTGCCTTTTCCTGRTCAATCTAATTTTATGACTTTTTAAGAGAAAAAGGAATTAAAAATATATATCAACAAAAGGCAATAATTCTACAACATATGTTTTATATCGAAAAATTTAATATAATGACCAGAAGATATATTGGTGATATTTGACACAATGTAACTCTAAGTACCAACAACTAGGTTTAGAATAAATGAGCCAAAATGCCAAATTTTAGGGGCTGGAGTTGTGGCTCAGTGGTAGAACACTTGCCTAGCATGTGTGAGGCCCTGCGTTCAATCCTCAGCACCACATAAAGATAAATAAATAAAATAAAGGTATTGTATCCATCTCAACTACAAAAAATATTTTTAAAAATGCCAAACTCTAAACTTTCATAAAAAGTCCATTTGAATATAAATGGAATTTAAAAACTTTTATATTATGAAAAATTCCAAACATATACAAAAGTAGAGACCATAATCAACCCCCAGATGTCTATTAACTAGCTTCAATGGCCCATGCAACATTTAAAATGTAAATGCAATTTAAAATCTTAAAATACTTCAAATATTACATCATTTTAATGAATGTTATTACATTCAGTACCATTTCCTTTGTATTTTCAGAGTTTAGTAATGTGTCCACAGCCATAAGAAGAGAGCAACTATTTTCAGTGGTAATATTTTCTTCAATTGCTTTTAAAATTTTGTCCAACAGATCAGCTGTGCTGCTCATTGCTTGTGACTACAAAACACAGAATTGATATTTAATAGAAATCATGTAAAATGTGTAAGAAATGTGAAAGTCTGTCATAACAGCAAAACAATCATAATTACTAGCTATATGAAATCTATCAGAAATCATATGTTCTTTCTTTCCCTTTCTTTTGTTACAATGTAAACACACACACACACACACACACACACACACACACACACACACACCCCACATACATACACACAGTTTTAAAGAGACAACACAGCCACAATAGCAGAACCTAGAAATAAGCAATAGAAGTTCTCTATTCAATTACTAATTTTAGAGAAAGTAGGTCCCCAATAAGTTAGGGAATTTTTGCAAGGACCATAATTGTATTACAGACCAAAACAGTATCTTTACAACTTGGTTTAAAAAATGTGACTATGCTGATTGACGGTTACAGTTGGCCAGAGTTACAATGTGCTTTGCCAGGGCACTCAAACCTGTCCCTCCTGCCTTCTTTGTCTTGTAAGCCAAAAATCCTGTCCATCACTGCTCTAAATCTGATGCAAACATGCCATCTGCTGTGAAATTTATTTAAATCATACTAATTTAATCAAAGGCAACCTGCATATAAAAACTCTTACATAATTAAAATTACAACACAAAGATGGAACAAAACTGAATACAGAATACAATTGTAGACATAGTACCTGCAAGAGAAGAATGAAATTTTCACTCTGAATGATCTTGGAGAAGTTTTCTACAATAAATGCAATACACTCTTCTTGGAGCTGAGATGCCATAGTTAGTGCTGCTTCTGTCCATTTTACTCTGGGTAAACTGATGATTAGCCTGTCACTTTCCATCAGAAGAAAAGCAGCATTCTTATCATTCTTAGAATTTAAAAAATATTGCAAAAAAAAGTTAGGTGGTATTATTGCTCATAAAATAGCTTTCTAAGCAAATAAAATACTTTAGTTTTCTTGTGATGTTTCCTGCAAGAAACAAAATTACAGGTAGCTAGAAACTTTGTCATTAGTTTTACTTATAATATTCATTCATTCATTCAGAATTATCCAAAAGGGAAAACTTTGAATTGGGAAAAAAACCACCTTTATAAGGTAGCTGAAATAAACCTGAGAGCACAACTATAATATAACTACAAAGAAAAAATCCACTTCCTTAAGATTATCACCACCAAATTAATCATTCATAATTCCTATATATATCATTCATAACTTCAGGGACTGACATGTCCTGAATTTTTTTCTGACTATAAAATATGTTTTTTAATTTAAATATTTTTTTATAGTTGTAGACAGACAGCATGCCTTTACTTGTCTATTTTATGTGGCGCTAAGGATTAAAATGCTAGGCAAGCACTATGCCACTGAGCTACAGCCTCAGCCCAAACTCTTCTCTAATAGGTATGATTCTTCTTTTTATATTTTATTCATTTAATAATGATTCATTTTTGTGTCAGAGGAAAAAAATGTTCACAAATATTTATTTCTATGGAAAATGAAATTACAACTCATAAATACTATTGCTCTCTAAGGAAAAGGAAAAAACAACAAATTATTGTTTTTGTTTTTGGTAGTGGGTGCTTAACCACTGAGCCAGATTACAGGTGTTCACCACTGTGTCTGGCAAATTATAGTATCTTAATCATGGTTGATGCTTAGTAAATAATTATTGAATAAATAGACATCTGGTAGATTACAGTAGCTTCACACACACACACAGAGTAACAAATTCTTTGCAGTTTCATTCACTGGGAGGTAGGATCTATTTCTTCATGTCTTGAATGTAGACTGGCCTTTTCACTTCCTTTAAGCAACAGTGGTGGTACTTAAGTTCCAGGGACCGACAGCTTCTATCTTTACCCTATTGGAATTCTGAGACCACTAGGCCATGAAGAAGCTTGGTAAGAAAGACCATGTGGAGTGAGAGGCCAAGCCTCCTGCTTAGACACTGGTTGAATGCAGTTACAGGGGGACTGGGGTTGTAACTCAGGGGACTGGGGTTGTAGCTCAGTGGTAGAGTGCTCACCTAGCATGTGTGAGGCACTGGGTTCAAATCTCAGCACCACACATAAAGAAAGAAAGAAAGAGGGGCTGGGGTTGTGGCTCAGTGGCAAAGCGCTTGCCTCTCAAATGTAAGGTACTGGGTTCAATCCTCAGCACCACATAAAAATGAGTAAACAAAATGAAGATAGAAAGATCCATTGACAACTAAAACAAATTTAAAAATTTTGAAAAATAGGGGCTGGGGTTATAGCTCAGTGGTAGACCGCTTTCCTAGCATGCATAAGGCACTGGGTTCGATCCCCAACACCACATACAAACAAACAAATAAAATAAAGGTAAAAATAAATAAATAAATAAAAATTGAAAAATAAAGAGTGAGCTCAGGCAAGGTCAGAAGAAGAATAAGTCAACCCACTGACTAGTGAGAAATAATAAATTGTAGTTTTAAGCTTTTTAGTTGTGGAGTGGGTTTGTTGCACAGAAATAGGCAGCTAATACACCTGGAAATAAGAAAATGAAATCTTAACATGAACTATATGATAGAGCTCTGCACACCCTCTGTATTGTTTAGATCTCAAAAGCTAAATMTATACCCTAAACCTATACCAGATGCATGCTAAGAACCTGTCTCTTCTTTAAAGAACTTAATTCATCTGTAATTATTCAAAGATGAGCATAAATGCTATATTAATGTCTGTCTCATTCACTATGCTGATGTTCAATGTGTATGAGACTATGTCTGCTTTTGCTCACTACTATATCCTCAGGGCCTAATGCAAAATTGGGTCATAAGAGACATTCAAATATTCATTGATCTCTTAACATCATCAGATAACCGAGAAATATCTGTAAGTGAATTTCTAAGATAATTTATATTTAATTCTTGGATTTAAAACTCTAAAAAGTTTACCCATTTTTCAAGAATTCATTAAAATGCATTATATATACTTCCACGGCTTTATCAAAGTAAAAAAAATCCTATTTTGCTATAATTCAAGCTTTTTTTTTTTTTTTTAAGTACCATTATCTTTCCTCCTCTGGTGACTTCCGGAGTTACTGTGCAGTTAAGAAGAGTTTTAGGCAATAAGCATAATTTGCTCTGTTGTAGGCACTCCTCTGGTAGTGGAACCAAATTTTGGGTATGCAAATAAGTTTGGCAGGTATCTACAAAATGCTTACTATATACATATTGTTATGTGCTCTGACAGTAATACATTTTAAAAGTACAGTATGTTTTATAATTTAGCTTGGACTCTATTAGAAAACTAAAATATGGACACAGTTATATACATAGATAATATATGATCTTTTTCTATACTGATCTGAGTATGTGATGAACATTAAATGTAAGAGTACCCTGAGGTTCAAAGAAGAAAAAAGTAATCCTTCTAAACCAAATATAAAATTTTAGTTCAATAGTTAACAATCATATGGTTCAATATTTGAAAATGTATAAAGATCATTACTAGGAAAAGTCTTCTGCTCCTTCCTACCCCCAAACCACTCATTTCCAAACCAATATAATTTTTTCTTTATCTTTCCAAGTGGTTTTATGCATATATAATGTGTATAATTTTCTCATTATTTTATTCAAGTGGAGGTATTATTGTGTAATCTGTAATGTTGCCTTTTACATTTAGTATACATCTTTAATTTTTCTTATTGATGTATACAGCCCTTTATGGTTTTAATAACTATGTAATAACCTATAATATAAAGATATCATAAGTAATTTAACTAGTCATCTACTTTTAGACATTACATTATTTACTATGCCTTTCTAAATTTGTAATTTAAAAAAACATATTTGGGGCTGGGACTGTAGCTCAGTGGCAGAATACTTGCCTAGTGTGCTTGAGGCACTGGGTTCAATCCTTACATTACATTACATTATTTTACTATGCATTATTTACTATGCTTTTACTATGTTATTATGTTATAATGAACTACCTTGTATGTGACATTATTTTATATCTCTAGGCTATATTTCTAGAAGTAGAATAGCTGTGTCAATACTACTAATCTTAGCCTGGATTCCACCTAAAAACTGAGACTGCGAAACAGGCTTGTATATAGATAGCTTGTTTGGGGAAGTGATTGATCTCAAGGGGGATATGATGCACTGGGAGAGAGAAAAGGATGAACAGAAAGCCAATCCAAGGTTGCATTTTCTAGTTCCTTGCTACTCAAAATGTGTTTCCCCAGTATCAGCATAACCAGAGCTTGTTAGAAAAGTAGAGTCTCTGGTTCCTCCCTTGATTTACTGAATTAAAATCTACATTAAATGAAATTCCTCAGTGTTTTGTGTGTACATTAAAGTTTGAAAGGCATCGATAGAGCATTCAACATTGTAGGTGCCTGGGGCTCAATCTTGTTAAGCTCCATGGAGGATGTATTTTGAATTAACCACTCAAGAGACAGAAAAGGGAAACATTTAACCACTGGCTCCCATCTCCAGTGATCAAGGCTTGCCACCGGGGTGTCAACTTTTTTTGTTGCCAGGATCAAACAGGTTCAGAATTGCTGAACTGGGGATATAATTCATCCATAGATTATGTACCTAGTATGCAGCAAGTCCTGGGTTCAATCCCCACGTCTCCAAAACATAAAATAAATTATTTAATTGCTCAAGTGCAGGTATCCCATGTGGAGAAGTGAAGAGTCCAGAAAGAAAGAAAAATGTATGTGAGGGATTACACCTTGTGCAGCTAGATGTTGCAGCAGTGTCTAGAATGTAAACATTGGGTCAAGAGAATATGTAGGACAGCARGGGTATCCAAAACACTGCCAATATACACTTAACACTATATTTTGAATAYACCTAACACTATATTGAATAAACATTATGTGTACTGTCTTACAAATTGTAGCATCTTCCCTAGCAACCTATTTAGCAGTTCATGATCAGCATGAGAAAACAGAAGAAAGAAAGAAGAGGCAGGGAGAAAAAGAGATAGAAAATACCAGTATATCCTACATAACAAGCCTAAGAGTTCTTTTGTAAAACTGTGTTTCAGTTCTACTTGTGAGTTACAATGGAAATATGAGTTACAATGGATAAAAAACTTCATAGTTTGGATGATTCAAAAAAGAGTCACAGTCAAAGGCTAGGGCTGTAGCTCTGTGGTAGAGCGCTTGCTTGCCTAGCATGTGTGAGGCACGGGGTTGCATCCTCAGCATCACATATAAATAAATAAAAATAAAGGTCCATCAACAACTAAAAAAAAATTTAAAAAGGTCACAGTCAAAAAAGTTTGAAAAATACAGTGAAAGATATGTTAATTTATATCTATCATGAATAAATTAGAAATATTCTCTATATCCTTACTGACACAGTACAAATTTCCCTGTTTTTATTATTCTGAAAGGTACAAAAATGACTTGATGCTGAATAGATAGTTTTAATGTCTACTTCTCTTTAAAAAATGAAGTTTAAAATCTGATGTTCAAATTAAGAGATGTTTGTATTTCCTTTCTGCCTATATTCTATAAATGAATTTTGTATGTAATTGAAATTAGACTGTTTTACATGTAAGTTATTTTATGTAGGCCCCATGGTAATCATACATAAAATATATACATAAATTACACAAAAGAAAGAAAGAAAGAAATCAAAGCATAAAATATCAAAAATTTGAAGGAAGATAGCAAGAGAAGAAAAGTGGAACAAAACAAATATAATACAATGGGGAAAACAATTAACAAAATGGTGATAGTATATCTTTTCCTTAAGATAATAATTTAAAATGTAATTGCAAATGGATTAAACTCCCCAATCAAGCTAAATGGAAAAAAAAAAAAGCCACATCTATGGGATGGGATTGTAGCTCAGTGGCAGAGCACTTGCCTAGCACATGTGAGGC